TTTGGAAGTTCCTCATCTGGGAATAATCTGGGTTGGAGATGTGCAGCTCTGCCATTGGGGAAGTTTCAGATTGAACAGGAGATACACCACTGCTCCCTCTACTGGCCAAAGCTTAATTATCTTCATAGTGGGGCTGAATCTCAAATGGCTCCCTGCTCCCTACATAGTGCACTATGTAGGAATTTAAATACTTGGTCCTGCAGCCCAACAGTGCAAAATACAGCTAAGCAATAGTCATTTGGGACTCAGACACATCCACACTTCATAAATCATGCACTATTTGGCTTTAGAGGCTAGAATTTCTGAACTTTCATAGCTAGCACACTACTTAGGGAGGATGGAGCCGTTTGGGATTGAGAGTTTGATGTTACTTCTGACTGAAAAATGAACATTTAAAGCATGTAATCCATTCAAATTTTATACTGCAGTTTTACAGTTAATCATACTGTAAGTACTTTAATTCAAGCCTGTGATATTAATGATGGAGTTGTTTAGGCTGTTAGCTATCATTTAGCCTGTTAGCTAGCTGACCAGCCTAGTTTTAGTTAATAAAATAAGTTGCCAACCTCTTAGTTTAAACAAAAAAGCAGGTTTTTACGTCATCAATATACTTAGTGATCCATAAGAGCAGAATTAGAGTCAAAGATTATACCATTAACATCACAAGGAAATATTATTATTATTATTATTATTATTATTATTATTATTTAACACCATGATGCAGTAATACGGAGTTCAGCTATTGTAAGGTGGTCATAGTTGTGGATATATCATGGATTGTACAGGGCTTCGAATGCGGCTCAGCCAATCAAATTTTAGGACCAGAACTTTATGATTATCATTTTGAGGCTAATATTAATGTTAACAGTAATTTTGATGATTTGACCTAAATTCAGGATAAAAATATTATGTTCCAATTAAAAAAGGCTAATGAAATTAATGATGAAAAAAAACAACATCAAGTGACTGTGTGAGTACTATTTTCTATGATTTGACATGTATAGGTTAAAAAAAAAAGAGCAGATGAACTGAATCAGGTGTAAGAACAGATAAAATGATGTAGGAGTGAATCAGAACAGAAGCTGAACATCATTAGAGCAGATTAATAAAATCAGTGATGATAAAACAACATGAATATTCAGAGCAGTCATTAATAAGAAACATTACTCTGAAACCAGAGCTGTGTCTTATAGCTGGACAATGGGATGATTAACTCACCTGTAACTCTGAGCTGAACTCCAGGTTTACCAAACCATTTTTCTTTTTCTACATTTGTTTTGATTCTGAAGCAGAACTGATGTTCATCCTTCTTCATTACATCACTCAGTTTGAGGGAGAAGTGTTTCTGTTCATCAGTTAAATACTCAACTCTGCCTGAATAATCTGGGTCTTTACTCAGATCAGTTGGCTCCACACCCTGAACTGGATCTATGACCAAAAAAGTTTCAGTAACTGTAAGACGTTCTGGGTGAGTATAAGTTCCATTCATAAACACTGTGGATCCTTTTAAAGCACATATTTCCTGGTGGTTGTACTTCACACTCCACTCTGTTCCAAAAGCTCCTGAAACATATGATGCATGAAAGAGCTGATTACAGAGTCTGGAGCCCATAAGACAGTCAGAGTTACTGTAGCTTACAGCTTCACTTCTCTCCTCTCTAACTCCAGCAGCTACTCTACAACACTGAGCTGATTCTGAGAGAAACCACAAAGTGTGAAGAGCTCTGAAAGTGCTGCAGCAGAGTGAGGGAGGCTGGAGAGAAGCACAAACTAGCAGTCTCTCAACACAGATAATATGGTGAACTTCTAGACATTATCAATTGAACAGTATTTCTACATCATAGACTTGTACAGAGAAAATATCCAGCATGCTGCTGTAGTGATGATGTTACAGATCTGCTGACTCACCAACAATCATGAGCAGAAAGACCAGAGGAAGAGGAGGAGCCATTCTGAGTGACATCACAGTGAAATACAGCAAAATTTCAGTGAGCTTCAAAAATGAGATATGAATTTACAGTTTAAAGTCACTGAGAGAGCAGAAAGATGGAGAGAGAGAGACACACAAACTTATCTGACCTTTGTGTAAAAAGGCATTATTTAAACATCTATCTATCTATCTATCTATCTATCTATCTATCTATCTATCTATCTGTCAAATTAACCATTTACTGATGTACATTTGCCAGAGAATTTGACATCAGGAAATGTTTAATAAACAAATAATAAATATATAAATAATAAAATATAACTAATAAAAATAAGCCTTTCTTACCTCACTGTCCTGAGTGCTATCTACACTGTGAGAACAGGAAGTGAAGACTGAAGAAACGTCTCTGAGGTTTTAAGCTGTTTGAGTAAATGTGGTTTATTTTATATTTTGTTCTGCTTTTTTGCTCCCTTGGTCTCTTCTTGTCAGTCCAAAACCAACCCTCTTTATGTCCTAATCAGATTGCAGTAACACAGTTAAGTGAAGACAAATACTCCACTATTAGTGATTAGTAATACTGCAGTCACTAGTAGCCTGTTTATAGTTCACAGAATTGCTTATTCCTGTTAATAACCAGTTTATAATTGCTTATTACTTAATTATGTCTGTATTATGTTTGCATTAAATTGTCTGGTCAATTAAATCTTGTGGTGCTGTTGTGGTCGGTTGTGTGGGTTGTGAATTTGGATCAAGGCCTCGCTGATCACCGTATTTTAGCGAGTTAGGGATGTTGAGGCTGTGAGCCAGACGAGTGTATTGCTATTACTGTGTAAATGGACTGTGTTTACTGTTAAGATGACATTTTTGTACTTTACACATAATAATTTTCACTTTCTATTTGCTGTAGTTCAGTTCGTTTTTGGCTGTCTGAGCTTTAGAAATGGGAGTTATTTTGGCTTTAGATTTACTTTCACATATTCTGTCAGTTCTGCACTGAAATGAACTATTTCTATAATTCACATCATGTGGTCATCACACTTGGACTCTTATATCCCACACCTCTGTTTATGTGTGCAACACCTGCTAATTCATCTGAATATCACATATCATTTCTTTAAATGTATGTCATCACACTTTGTTGCATTAGGTAAATGTCTTGGTCACTGATGGAATATTAAAATGTAAATGATCTTCTGTGGTCATTTACCCTAATCAGTACTCAGGAATATCATTTGTAGTTTTCTTTGTGGTGAAATAAAAATATATTTCATACAGTGTGTTTATGATTTTTCTGATTTGTGCAGACATTCTGTGAAATATTTTGGTAAAGCTTTTATTTCCAGTCCAATAAGTTTTAGATACTAAGCAGATAAATAGGATATACAAAATTCAATGTAAACATTTGAGTATATTGATGGTAAGTTCCATGGCAGTCTAACTAAATGGGCAATTGGGTAAAAATCTTAAGCAACTGATACGACATACACAGACTACTGAACTGAAACATGTTAATCATAGACGACACAGCTTACACATGACAGTTCCACTCACTGTTTAGTGAAATATTATTTTTGTTTATGTGCAAAAGGTTTGGGCCGTTTTTCTCAGTAAGCCGTTTCACAAACTCACAGAATGTGTGAAGAAAAAAAAAATATATATATAGTATCTTGATTGACAGTAAAACTGATCTCAAATCTACCCACAATGGCAAATGCATTCAGGAGGAACTGGCTGACTGCTTACTAACATGTTTCTAAACAGTGCGTTTCTCAACACAGACCAAAGGCAGCATCAACAGCAAGTGTGAAAAGTATGTGAGAGAGAGAGTGTCGGGCCTAAGACCCTCTCTTCTGTGCCCAAGGCCCCTGGACAGAAGATGGATTCTTCTGGCATGTTCTAATGCTAACTGCCCTAAGAGCTAATTGCAGTATAACTTCTTCTAACAAAATAATAAAAGTGTCTAAGTGTAAAAGAGGAAACTAACATAAGACACTTCAGTCGCAGAGTTTTTGTGGAAGGAAGGAAAAGGCCTTCTACTTTATTGAGCTTGAATGGCAAGATGGTTCCCGGGCAACCACAATACAAAGATCATCACAAAACACCCATTTTATATCCTGTTGTGAAGATTACTATTCTTTGGTTAATAAACACTACTTGTTAGTACTATCAAAGGTTATTTATTCAAAACATCCATCAAGAGATAGAGAGAGAGAGAGAGAGAGAGAGAGAGTTGGGCCTATGTCACTTCAGGAAGTCTTGACAGCGCTCATGATAAACTTAGACATCGTGTCTATTTTTACGTCTAAGGCAACAGTGTAAACTGACCTGTTAGATATTTTAATCATGACCATCATCTGGATCATCATCTTCATTCTGATGCCTGGTGAGTTTTTCCTCTCACATCTGTGTTGGGTTTAAGATGATCTTTACAAATTTTCTAAGACCAATTTGATGGCCTGAGTCTCGACTCGTAAAAATTAAGAAAGACTTGTGACTCGACTTTAACTTGAACACCACTGACTCAGACTTGGACTTGAGACCAAAAGTGGAAGAAACGTGGAGAAAGGAAAACAGGATTTTTGGTTTCTCTGCAGAACATGAGCCGAATATAGATGGAAAAATTTTCCAAGTCTGTGTAGTTTAATATTACATACCTTATATTATACAGAAATATACAATCATAAACATACAGAGATGCTGAGCTGAGCTCCACCCAGCATGTGAATGTGGTGAGAGAACACAATGCAGATCACTAACAGCCTCACTCTGAGGTTAACATACTGAGTATAAGAGCTGATACACAACATTTACTGTATATCAGAATGATTTCAGCTCTTAGCCTTTCATACTCTTCATAGAGAAAAGACCTTCTGCACTAAATGAAAGATTATGTTTGATTTACATAAATTAATAAATTAAATCTTTTAAAATATGAGGCTTTTATTTAATATGTTGGCATTACATTAAAAAAAATGCACTAACCTGAAATTCTCTGTAGAGTTTTAGAGTCTCTACATAGAGCTAAAAATAAGTACAGAGAAGCAAAAGAAATTCTATATTTTCACATCTTAGCAGGAACTTTGAGTTTAAAAGCTAAAATAAAGAGATCATCATGTCTTGTACATAAACAAGAAACACAGAGTCAGACATTTAAGTTAATCTCCAAATAATCAGAGCTCCACAAACACTGAGCTCACAGATATCATAGAGAAACATGAACAACAAAGAAACAGACAACCTCAGAACAAACATCCACAAACACAGTTCAGTACAACATCCTTAATCTTAGTCCTAATCCACCATGTTCACTCACACTGGATCATGATGAAGGGATCTAAAGTGAATCCACTGTATATGGAGTTTATCACCTTCTCTGTTACTGAGTATCACAGTTTAATGTGTAGAACTCACTGCTAGAGTGTGGTACTCAGGAGAACTGGACTGAGGGTCCAGAGCTGTGTACGTGTCATCAAGAGAACTGGACTGAACAGCCTGTGTGAGGGAAAGAGAGAATGAAGCAGAGGAGGAGAAATGAAGAACTCCATTTAGTTTTCTGAGTTAGAAATTCTTTACAGATGTAGAGGGAGGATTTGTGAAGAGACACTTACTGCAAGTGTGTGGTACACATCTTTAGAGGACCTGGCTGTGGGCTGAAGAGCTGTGTACGTGTCGTCCTTAGCATTAGGGTCAGCGTTCTGGACAGAGGATGGTTAGAGAAGGTGTAGAGAGACTGAAGGAGTTTAGGAATCATCACTAGTTTAATATTTTACTGTTTGAAACAAATCATCTCGATCATGATTTACTGACTGAAACCAAAAGGTAAGTGGCTCAGAACAGCACCTTGGACAGCCCTCTCACCTTTTCACAGCTACATCCTAAAACTCTAAGTCCTACACTGCCATCTAGAGGAAGAGTTTTAGGTAACACTTTATTTAACTGTGACCTCTTTACATGAACAATGTAACTACAATTAACTACCTTTTGAACCAACAGCAGTTACATGATTTAGAATATGGAAATTATTTCTATTATGACATGCAGCTACATTTAGGCACATTACAAAACAAGATCAATATTAGAGCCTGATTTTTATTATCTACCTGTACTAACACCTCAACATACTTGTTTGTAGGTTGGTTATATTTTTAGATTTTTAGGCTCGTATTCTTAATTTTTAGTTAAGAATATTGTTGTTTGAATCTCAGTGAACTCAAATATCTATTGAACAGCAATTTCATGTTACAGTATTTCTGTGTTCCACACTCTGTAATGTATGGGGTGTGTAGGCAGGGCACACGTACATATATGCTTTATTAGGGTCAATCCAAAACTCACAGGCAGGAGTCAAACAGGCAGGTAAGCACAAGAATGATCATAGCAAACAATCATTAAGCAAAGAAATTTTCAAACACAGAAAAACTACACAAAGAAACCTGCCTCTGAACTCAGACTACTGACACAAAGACTCTACAGTCTAACAGCCTAACCAAAGGAGTAAATGAAGGGGTTGAATCATTCTTTGAACTAACTACAGGTTTGAAGCTGTTGCAGCTGGAATGGTGGTTGGCGGGAGGGGGCGACATTGTCACAATTGTGACATGGAGTATATCTATAAATAGTCACTATCTACTGCATTTGTCCTTCAATCAGAGCAATAAAAGTGAGTATATATCCCAAGTATCACCACAGTAAAGAGGGCTGGGTGGTAAGAAAACATTGTATGACAGCGACAGTAAAAGGTTCTTTTTGAGTTCACTGCACTTTTAACAGTCTTATTCTGTCGGTCAGTCCATCAGGGTGGAGCAGCAGAATTCTTAGCAGAAAAGAGACTTTATCAGAGAATTTGTAGTGAGGAGATCTGACACTTCATAAAGTCAGATGCTTGAAGGTTCTTTATCTCTTGATGAAGTCCACAATGAAGGGAGGTCTAAGGAGCTTTTGTGCATAATTGTAACTTGTAAATTGCACTTGAAATGCACAACAGAGAACAACGTGAAGTTTTTCAGCACTGCTGTTATTTTTTTAGTATTTATTAACTCTACCTATGGGAATTTCTAACTGTGCCTTATTTAAGTTCATGACATCAGCGAGTGCAAATCACTTTACTCAATGAGCCGAGAGAATTCAAGCTGTGTTTCATGGAATGACAAGTAAGCATAATGAAATGGCCTAGTTCCAGTGTAATTGAACAGCTATAATGTTGTAATAACATTGTATTTACATAATTGGAGAAAACAGGCAATTGATTATCTAAAGAACAACATTAGTAAATGTAATTGCTTGTTCCTGAGACACATTCTACACTTTAGAAAACCCCATGGAATTACAGGTAACAGTGAAGGAACAGCTTTGTTAAAATAAAGTGTACATCAGCAAATATAGACACAAAACTGAATTCCTCACCTCATAATCTTGTTCATCAGAGTTTCTTTTCTTCCTGTTGATCCTGGAGGAAAAAAAATGAATATATTCTATTTAGTCTGAATTTAAACTCTCTTTTTATCTGGTGATGCATTACTAATAACCCCAAAAGAAGTAATTTTCTCACACTGTAGGAAGATTTGTGCCACATTTTACTGACCAGAGGATGCAGATTAAGGCAGTAATAAGCAGAAGGAGAAAGCTTCCTCCTCCCACTGCAATCCAAACAGCAGACACACTCTGACCTGCAGCAGAGAAGATCATTTCCATCACTTTAGTGTCCTTATTTTAAAAGGGAACACAGAAATAAAGAATTTTTCTTATTATTGACCACCTACTCTTAACAGTGACCATCACAGTTCCATTCTGAGCTCCATGTTCATTCTGAGCTTCACAGTAGTACAGTCCAGTGTGGTCAGCAGTGATGCTGATGATGCTGTAATTCTGTCCAGATCCTACAGGTGAGGTTCCACCTTCTTTAGACCAGGTGTAGTTCTTTACATGTGGGTTTGCATCACTGCTGCAGGTCAGAGTCACTGAACTGCCCTCCACTATTCCACCAGAGGGGCTGATGGACACTGAGATGCTCTTTGGAGGATCTACAGATAGATATGTTAAGGTTTCTTTAATGTCAGTAGTGTTTAGCAAACATGGTAATTTTTTTTGTTTATTTTGTTTTGTTTCACTTTTTTTTTAATAGTCAGTATTACTCAAGGACTAACAAGTGACATTTATCCATTAGTCACTATTCGTAAATGTTACTGAGTCATTTGTCAAAAGAAAAAAGATGAGAAAAACAAAATTAAACAGTTAAACTCACATCTGACTCTGAGGTTGTGAGCAGTAGAGTTGAGATGTTGATATCCTCTTACAGCACAGCTATAACTGCCTGCATCCTCACTGCTGACTGTCTGCAGGTGGAGCTGGTTGTTCTTGATGGTCTTTGTGGTTAAAGGACGTCCATTTTTGTACCAGATGAATGTTGGGTCAGTCAGACTGCAGGTGGTTTTACATGTCAGATCTGCTGTTTCTCCCTCTGTCACTTCTTCAGGAGTTTCCACATGGAGCTCTAAGATAGTAAGAGGACCATCAGATTAGTAGAGAATAGCTGTAATGTCAGTCTCTCTTATTCACCCAAGCTGCACAGAAGTAAGAGCAGATTCGACCAGCTGGAATTATTTACTTATTACTCAGAAAACTGATTCAGGACACTGCTCTACTCTGCTTTCTCCTGCTTTCTTCAGCTCCTTGCTCTCCTGTCTATAATAACCTTCAGGTGTTGCTGCTGATGGAGGGGTAATGGCGTGAGCTGTTTGGCAGTGCTGAGATTGGGGCAAGAGCTTATAAGCCTGGTGACTGGCTTCCTCGAGGCTCCTCCTCCTTCCCTTTATGTTGCTGCTTGACTAGCCATACAAAGAAGTTCTAAACACGGAGTAGTTGGGCCTATTCTCCATGTAGTTGCTAGTCTATTGTGGTGTGTTAAACTGGTGGGTTGGTAATAGAAAGTCGACACTTTTATGTTGTTACCTACGCTAATCAGGTCATAACAGTACCTTAACATATAATTATATATAATATGAGTACCTTATTAACATATAATTTGCAATAAACTCTGCCCTACTTTCCCTCAAGTGCATATAATTTACACAAAGCACACTCTGATGCAGATATTCTGGCTGTGAGGCAATTAAAAAGATATATTGCAGGGGTTCTCAGCCTTTTGCTTGCCAATGTCCACCTGTGTACAAATTGCTCAAACCACACTCCACACACTGGACTTTAGGATTAGTGTCATCACAATCAAAGCACTTATAACAAATGTAACTTTATATTTGCATCTTTATGGTTTGATTATCATTTTGAGGTTAACAAGGACCGCTGAATGAGGAGAACGTTCGGTCGCCCATTTCTGTATATTGCAGCCATGTCATGATTTTTTTTGTTTTTTAATTTTTGTCATATAACAATGAACATATGATAATACAGCACTGTTTAATGCAAAAAATGTATGCTTGATATCTATATTTTGGTCACCAAATTACCATCACGGGTCTTATTTAGTACCAATCCAGCGGTTCCCTCTTCACCGGGGCTGAATCTCAAATGGCTCCCCTCTCCCTACATAGTGCACTATGTAGGAATTTAAATACTGAATCCTGCAGCCCAACAGAGCAAAATACAGCTAAGAAATAATCACTTGGGACTCAGACACACCCACACTCAATAAACTATACAACATTTGGCTTTAGAGGCTAGAATTTCTAACCTTTCATAGCTAGCACACTATTTAGGGAGTACGGAACCGTTTGGATTCAGTCTGGGTTTGATGTGACTTCTGACTGAAACACAGACATTTGAAGTGTGTAAGACATTCAAGTAACATTTTTAGACTTTTATACTGCAGTTTTACAGTTAATCATACTGTAAGTGCTTTAATTCAAGCCTGTGATATTAATGATGGAGTTGTTTAGGCTGTTAGCTCTTTTAGCCTGTTAGCTAGCTGTCAACATAAGTTGCCAGCCCCTCAATTTAAACAAAAAAGCTGGTTTTTATTCATCAATATACTCAGTGGTCCATGTGAGCAGAAATAGAGTCAAAGATTATACCATTAACAGCACAAGGATTTTGCCGTGGTGCAGTAATACAGTGGTCAGTTGTTGTTGAGGTGGTCATAGGTGTGCATATTTTGTGGATTTTACAACAGCTTTGAATGCGGCTCAGCCAATCAGATTTTAGGATCAGAACTCTCTGTTTTATGATTGTCATTTTCAGGCTAATATTATTATTGTTAACAGTAATTTTCGATTATTTAACCACAATTGAGGATTAAAAATATTACATTCCAATTTAATAAAGGCTAATAAAATTAATGATGAAAAAAAAACAAACAAACAACATGAATATTCAGAGCAGTCATGGATAAGAAACATTACTCTGAAAGCAGAGCTGTGTCTTATAGCTGGACAATGGGATGATTAACTCACCTGTAACTCTGAGCTGAACTCCAGGTGTACCAAACCATTTTTCTTTTTCTTCATTTGTTCTGATTCTAAAGTAGTACTGACGGTCATCCCTCTCCATCACATCACTCAGTTTGAGGGAGAAGTGTTTCTGTTCATCAGTTAAATACTTGACTCTGCCTAAGTAATCTGGGTCTTTACTCAGATCAGTCGGCTCCACATTCTGAACTGGGTATATGAAACAAAAAGTCTCTGTCACTGTAAGATGTTCTGGGTGAGTATAAGTTCCATTAATAAACACTGTGGATCCTTTTAAAGCACATATTTCCTGTTGGTTGTACTTCACACTCCACTCTGTTCCAAAAGCTCCTGAAACATATGATGCATGAAAGAGCTGATTACAGAGTCTGGAGCCCATAAGACAGTCAGAGTTACTGTAGCTTACAGCTTCACTTCTCTCCTCTCTAACTCCAGCAGCTACTCTACAACACTGAGCTGATTCTGAGAGAAACCACAAAGTGTGAAGAGCTCTGAAAGTGCTGCAGCAGAGTGAGGGAGGCTGGAGAGAAGCACAAACTAGCAGTCTCTCAACACAGTTAATATGGTGAACTTCTAGACATTATCAATTGAACAGTATTTCTACATCATAGACTTGTACAGAGAAAACATCCAGTGTGCTGCTGTACTGATGACGTTACAGTAGGATCTGCTGACTCACCAACAGTCATGAGCAGAAAGACCAGAGGAAGAGGAGGAGCCATTCTGAGTGACATCACAGTGAAATACAGCAGAGTTTCAGTGAGCTTCAAAAATGAGATATGAATTTACAGTTTAAAGTCACTGAGAGAGCAAAAAGATGGAGAGAGAGAAAGAGGCACATAAACAGGCCCTTACTTGACCGTTGTGTGAAAAGGCATTCTTTACACATCTCTCTCTATCTATCTATCTATCTATCTATCTATCTATCTATTAATAATAAATAATAAAAATAAGCCATTCTTACCTCACTGTACTGAGTGTAATCTGCACTGTGAGAAAAGCAAGTGAAGACTAAAGAAACAGCTCTGAGGTTTTAAGCTATTTGAGTAAATGTGGTTTCTTTTACATTTTGTTCTTCTGCTTTTTTGATACCTTGTTCTCGTTTTGTGCAACAGCTGGTCAGTCCAGAACCAACCCTCTTTATGTCCTAATCAGATTGCAGTAATGCAGTGAAGTGAAAACAAATACTCCACTATTAGTGATTAGTAATACTGCAGTCACTAGTAGCCTATTTATAGTTAACAGAAGAGCTTATTCCTGTTAATAACCAGTTTATAATTGCTTATTACTTAATTAATGAATTATCTAGCAGAGTATTTACCTTTTCAGTGCATATGGCAGGGAAATCTAAAATGTGCACACACAGGCACATCTAGTAGGAAGGGAAATTACAATCAACTCCATTTATTCTGGTGAGGAAATCAGAGTGAGGTGAATTTAGATGCAGAGCTGGACTGTAGTTGCCATGGTGCCCTAATGCTGGATTTTATTATTAAATCGCTTAAGAAAACAAATTCACTTAATATATTTACCTTTATCTACAAAGTCAAGTTTTACATTAGGGAATGAGTCTGCAGTGTTAAAGTGTTGGTATAGGTAGGGGTGGAGCCACACCTCCAAAAAAGGGGTGAGGAAAACATGACTGGCTGGGTGACAAAATGCAAATAGGCCACTGACTGAGTAACTAAAACAAACAACCAAAAACTAAATAAATAAAATAAATAAATAAATAAATCTCTCATGTTATGATAATAACATGTTCCTGTAAACCTGTTTTTGAGGGTTTCTGTGATTTTGTATCTTTTTATCTAGTTTGGTCAGTTTCACACGAGAACAGCTGAAGTGGACCAAATTACACACAGGGGTTTTCAGTTATTGGTCTAAAATTTGGTCTGTATTATTTTTGTTTGCATGTTAAATGGTTTGGTCCGTTAAATCTTGTGGTGCCCCAGAAGCTTTTGTGGTCGGTGGTGTGAGTTGTGAAGGCCTGGCTGATCACCGCATTTTAGCGAGTTAGGGAAGTTGAGGCTGTGAGCCAGACGAGTGTATTGCTATTACTGTGCAAATGGACTGTGTTTACTGTTAAGATGACATTTTTGTACTTTACACATAATAATTTGCTGTAGTTCGGTGACATATTTTTTTTTCCTTTAAGTGCAGTATGAGAGTAAAGTTTATATCAATGACAAGGTCATGCCTCCTGATCACGTTTTTGGCTATTTGAGCTTTAGAAATGGGAATTATTTTGGCTTTAGATTTACTTTCACATATTCTGTCAGTTCTGCACTGAAATGAACTATTTCTATAATTCACATTATGTGGTCATCACTCTTGGATTCTTACATCCCACATCTCTGTTTATGTGTGCAACACCTCCTAATTCATCTGGATATCATTAATCATTTCCTTAATGTCATCACACTGTGTTAAATTAGGTAAATGTCTAGGTCACTGATGGAATGTTCTGCTGTGGTCATTTTCCCTAATCAATATTCAGGAATATCATTTGTAGTTTTGTTTGTGGTGAAATAAAAATGCTTTTCATACAGTGTGTTTATGATTTTTCTGATTTGTACAGACGTACTGTGAAATATTTTGGTAATGCTTTTATTTCCAGTCCAATAAGTTTAAGTTATTAAGCAGATAAATCTGATATACAAATTTCAAGGTACTGTGTAAGTATTTGAGTATAATGAAGTTCCATGGCAGTCTAACTAAATCACACTGAAGTACTTAATAGGTTCTAGATATTAAGTGGGTATGTGGTACAAACTCCTCAGTACTGTGTCATTTTTGGGTAAAAAGCTTCAGCAACTGATATGATATACAGATATAAAGACTGCACTGAACTGAACTGTTAATCATAGACAACACAGCTTACACATAACAGTTCCACTCACTGTTTAGTGAAATATTATTTTTGCTCACGTGCAAAAGGTTCATAGGATATGTGAAGATAAACCTCTAAAATACCTCTCAAACAGCAGAAAGAGGAAGTTACCATCACCATGGCTACACTGAAAAGCACCAGTATATGCACCAGAGACAAAGACCAGAACAGTGTGTTTCTCAACACAGACCAAAGGCAGGGTCAACAGCAGGTGTGAAAAGTGTGTGTGTGTGTGTGTGTGTGTGTGAGAGAGAGAGAGAGAGAGAGAGAGAGAGACAGAGAGAGAGAGAGAGAGAGAGAGAGAGAGAGAGAGAGAGAGAGATGTTGGAAGTCTTGACAGCTCTCATGATAAACCTAGGCATCATGTCTAAGTTTATGTCTAAGGCAACAGTGTAAACTGACCTGTTAGATGTTTTAATCATGACCATCATCTGGATCATCATCTTCATTCTGATGCCTGGTGAGTTTTTCCTCTCACATCTGTGTTGAGTTTAAGATGATCTTTTCAAACTTTCTAAGACCAATTTGATGACCTGAGTCTCGACTCATAAAAATGAAGAAAGACTTGCGACTCGACTTTAACTTGAACACCACTGACTCAGACTTGGACTTGAGCCTCATGACTTGGAAAGACTCGAGACCAAAAGTGGAAGAAACATGGAGAGAGCCTGACTGCAGAGCTCTACACAGCTGAATCTGTGAATCTGTTATCTTCAAATATGTTCTTGAAATTAAGTTTAATAGTACTTTGAAATTTCAGTAACACTTTACGTAGAGTGCTGTTCATAAGGCTACATGACACCTACATAAGCTTGTCATTACAACTGACATGACCCTACATAACTGTTTATAAATGCTTGTTCCAATGATTGTCATTCACTATAAAGGTTACATTTGCCAATTTTGATCAAAGTCAGCTAAAGTAGCCTTTATGACAGATGACACCTGTTGTAATAAGCATTTACAAACAGTTATGTAGGGTTGTGTCAGTTGTAATGACAAGCTTATGTAGGTGTCATGCAGCCTTATGAACAGCACCCTACGTAAAGTGTTACTGAAATTTCTTTTCATTTGTAGTTGCACTACTCTTTGTGTATACCATTTTGCCTCTTAAATCCATGGGCCATGGATTTTCTATTTGTATTGTTGTTTATTTGGAAGAGTAATAATAATAATAATAATATACAGCTACTAACATGCTGTCATTAAAAGACAATATTGCAGTTGCTATCATTTTTGGTGTTCAGTGTTGAAATGGCTTTAAATTAGCTGAAAGATGCAGACTCAAAAAAATTAGGACTTGGGACTCGACTTGAGACTTGCCTGCACTGACTTAAGACTTGAATCGAGACTCAGCTTTCTTGACTCAGGACTCGAGTGTCAAGACTTAGTGACTTGTTCTCACCACTGGTGTTTGTTTAGTACTCCCTTACATGGTATGTCTCGTCTTACAGCTGGAATCAGTGCTGTAACTACTGTAATGGGATTCAAGGGGCAGTCGGTTCAGATTAAATGCCCTTATGAGTCTGTAAATGAAACTCACATTAAGTATCTCTGCAGAGGAAATTGTTCTACTGTATGGGGAAAAAAAAGACATCCTTGTTCAGTCTGGATCTGCTAAAGATCAGAGATTCTCTCTGGATGACGACACAGCAGCCAGAGTCTTCACCATCACCATCACTGATCTGAGAGCGGAGGATGGAGGAACATACTGGTGTGCGATACATAGGGGTCTACATATTAATCACACAGAGATTCTGTTAGTGGCTAAATCAGGTGAGTGACAGACAATTAAGACTGATATCAGTAGTTCATAAAGTTCATAAAGATGAATATTTCTGTGTGGTCAGTGAGATTTTATTGCCAAAAGGTGAATTAATTTCATGTTGTCTCTATTTCTTTTCTTTAGATGACCCTCCTGCTGTCTCACACTCCACATATTTTCCTCCATCAGTTCAGACAAAATCTACACCTCTCTCTCCTTTTCTCCCCACAGGTATGAGCTCTTTCTCTCAGTCTGTTTTCTTACTTGTGTATCCATCAAATCATCCATCAAACCATTAATGCCTGATGATCTATTATAAATCCTGTAAGATGAAGGCACCTGTACTGTGCTTATAGTCCTGCACCCCCACCTTTCTGAAGTGGAAATCTATTAAATTACTAGTGTATTATCAGGAGTGTGACTCAAAGGTACGAACATCAGGGGCTGATTTTACATGGTCACAGGGTGACACAGCCTGTTCTCTAGAACTCCTCCACTAGAAATTGGAGAAAAGGATTTGCCAGTTCAAACTGTAAAATGAAAAAGTTTTCATCGATAAAAGAACTAACATTATACCTATTTAACCAGAACATCCATATGCATATCACTAATGTTGTAATGCACTATAACACTTTATAGAGCATTGATGAAGGTTGTTACAGACTTTAAGTGAAGTTAGGTTTTTTTAAAGATATTTTAAATGTTGCAGAACTGTCACTTCAGTACATAATCTCTTACAGAATATCATACAAGCTCTATACAGGCTTTAAGTGAAGTGAGATAGTCATGTATAAAATGTGTGGTGGGGGAAAGTCACTCTGCAGTTCATTACATCGAGGGGCGTGTCTCACACACTGAGTATCTGATGTCACTCTATACATCACTCTACTCAATCTGCCAGTGCAGGAACTGTTTACGGTGTGAATTAGCAAAGCCAGCTTGAAGCCACTGGTAATGTTAGCTATATTTTAAACAAAAAGCTGTTGTTCATTATTGTTCTACTGGCTAACATAAAGTGCTCTTTGTTACTAACCAACAGTCTAGCACCTATAGTCAACTAGCCTAGCATTACTGATTAATGTTCGTAATAATTCACACCACATATACAGGCCATGTTTGTTTATTTAATATTTTAAAAATCATATTACATTCTTATTACATGCTCAAAAGGTATTGTTCATTTCTTATAACACTTTATAAATACTTTTATACAGCATTGTGAATACAGAATTAATAAGAAATGTTATGGAAGCTGGCGAATATTAAGAGAAATACTATGTTTCAGTGTCCATTTTTACAGTAATGACATAATAAAGTGATAGAAATGATCTTTTCTGCAGGTCAGAGTTTGTCTGCAGTCTGGATTGCAGTGGGAGGAGGAAGTTTTCTCTGCTTACTACTATTACTATCTTAATCTATCTTAATCTGCATCTACAGGTCAGTATATTACAGGAACAAATCCTACAGTCTGACAAAGTGATTTGTTTGAAGATTGTAACAAAGCATCAATAGACAAAAAGGAAGGGTGAACTAATTAGAATGGACTAATTGTTTTATGCTGTTTTCACAGGAAGAAGAAAGGAAATGCTGTAACTGATCACAATGAGACACACCAGGTAAACTGACCACAAACCAAATGACCACAAAAAAGTATGTAGGGACAGTTTCTCTTGCAGGATATATTTGTATCTGTTTCTTATTTGAGAACCACCTTAAAGGACGTTCAAAGTCAAAGAGTCTTTTCTGCCACATTTTCAGATGATTAGCCATTTAAACTGTTCTCCATGAATGCTTCACTCTCAGGATGATGTCCTCTACACCACCGTTACACACAGCAGATCCAGACCTGTACAGGCTGCTGCTTCTGCTGACTCTGGAGCTGCTGATGTTCAGTATGCTACAGTCAGGATTCAAGATGATGAAGTGACAAGCACTGACCAGCAGGGGGAGCCCCAATATGACAGTGTTACACTTCACCACCACAGTGTTGCCACTGGATGAGTTTCACTGAGCTTTTATATAAAGCAGTGCAGAGAACATTTATATAGATTTTATCCATGGGCTATCCATTAGACAGAAATAATGGTTTAGGTTCTCTGGGGCTTTAATTAATTTAATTAATAAGGTGTCAGTTTCTCTCAATGCTCAGTTAAAGGCTGAAATACTCAACTCACTGTAGTTCCTGCTTATTAATAAGCAGCCAGTTAATTATTCAGCTGTTGGGCTGATAAATTTGCTTCCAGCTGTTTTCTTGACAAAGCTTAATAAGAGCATAATAATGGAAAACTAGAATGATACAAGTTGCTGTATGATACATACAAAAAGTCACTCTAAAATGGGTATTTCACCCTAGTTAATGTTTAATATCAGCAGAACTCAAAATCAGCAAAAAAGTACCAGAAATAACATTTGGATTTAGAAAGTAATTTGGGTGGCAAAGCCTTCTGTTATGGTGAAGCTCCTGTTTTGCTTAAATACTTTTTTTTTTTTTAATAATTTAAAATACTAATCAGAAGTTTAAGATTGTGTTCCTCTTAAAAATGTAAAAGTGCTTCAATTTCTTTGTCTTGTAGGCATTTGACTCAGAAAGTAGAGCCGTCACTGATTTACAGTATAGTAATAAAAGATTAGATCTGCTGAAGAGATAGATAGATAGACAGATAGATAGATAGAGAGAGAGAGAGAGAGAGAGAGAGAGAGAGAGAGAGAGAGAGGTCTTGGAGTGTTGTACTGGTTTTTGTTGTTACTGTGCATGAAACATTTTTAAGTATGTTTCATACTAATAATTTTATTAGCTGTATTTTAAGTCCTCTACATCTTTATTTTTCTTCATGTATCCTTTGTTGTGTACCTTAATATACATCTTAAACTTAAATAGTGTTTTATTAAGAAGTATTTAGTAAGTAATGTATTTCTCTCGAAAATTATGGACTTAATATCATTAGGTTTTATTAAGAATTATAAAAATTATATATTATATAATAATAAATTTACTAGTTTTGAGACATGAATTCAGACTAAACAAGTTAAAAATGGCATGAAGGCAAACTGTAGCTCAATCTACATAAACAAATGAGTTATTTTAGCCAGTATAATCAAAATTTTAATTACAGTCAATATTATACAATACAAAATACTGTGAACAAATTAAAACTACTTCACAGTTTTAACAGATTTTGTTATTAAAAAAGAGAGAAAAAATGATCAAATCAACTTTAATGATCAATTCAAATTACCATGCTACTTTGAGCAAGTATCATCACAAACAATTCACGACCTTTTTAATGCTATTTTAACACAGTTTAAAGTGCATCTTCTGGCTTAGAGACAGTCATTTTTCTAAGTTTTTAACTTTCAGTCCTCTAAATATGTGACTGCTGCTCATATAATTATATGGCAGTGTTTAATACAAATATCACTCTTTATAAGCAGCTTTTAGTGCAAAAATGCAAATTTCCATTAGTGCCGTCATGTTGCAGCGTTATGCTAGTGCAAGGCTAATAGTGTACAGTCACTTATCCATAGTCAGGTACTTATGATGATTCTACATTGGAAATAGGCATTTAAAACTAGTAACACACCTTCAAGTAACATATTTTTACTTTGTATGTTGGAGTTTACAATAAATCATTTGGTAAATTTTTCAGCTTAAATCTGAATATTATTGGGAAAAATTTTGTTAGCCTGTTAGCCATCTGGCAAACTACATATTTCAAAGCAGATTTTTCATGAGTTATGCAGTTTATAATAGAACTCAAACTGAGCCTAATCAAGGTGATGTAAAATCAGGCTCAATTTGAGTTCTATTCTAGGACTACAGTTCCCTGCCCACATAGCCAGCTGGCTGTTTTAAATTTGTTTAAGGTTCACTGGCAATAACAGTGAAACTGGACTGAATATTATGTCCTTAACTTCTTGATTAATGTTGATTAACCTTTAGCAGTGGGAGGTTCACATTTTAGCTGTTTAAGTAGGGAAGCACCTAGAACATTCTACGCTTGTGGGGATGGGGACTGTAATAAGCTGCTGAGTTCAGATTCTAGTTCAGTCATTTTGACACCATTTAACATTTTAAACGAGCTTCAACTATTAAAATACAGGATTTTTGGTTTCTCCATCCAGGAGAAACATACTTTCATTAGAGTTAGGAGAACAATAAAAGATGTGAAAAATCTGCAGAACATAAGTCCAATGAAGATGAAACCGTTTTACAAGTCTGTGTAGTTTAATATTACGTAACTTTTATTATGCAGAAATATACAATCATAAACATACAGAGATGCTGAGCTGAGCTCCACCCAGCATGTGAATGAGGTGAGAGAACACAATGCAGATCACTAACAGCCTCACTCTGAGCTTAGCATACTGAGTATAAGAGCTGATACACAACATTTATATCAGAATGATTTCAGCTCTTAGCACTTCATACTGTTCATAGAGAAAAGGCGTTCTACACTAAACGACAGATTACGTTTGCTTTACGTAAATTAAGAAAATCTTTTAAAATATGAGGCTTTTATTTAATATGTTGGCATTACATTAAAAAAAATGCACTAACCTGAAATTCTCTGTAGAGTTTTAGAGTCTCTACATGGAGCTAAAAATAAGTACAGAGAAGCAAAAGAAATTCTATATTTTCACATCTTAGCAGGAACTCTGAGTTTAAAAGCTAAAATAAAGAGATCATCATGTCTCGTACATAAAGAACTGATGCAGACTCAGGCATTCAAGTTAATCTCCAAATAATCAGAGCTCCAGAAACACTGAGCTCACAGATATCATAGAGAAACATGAACAACAAAGAAACAGACAACCTCAGAACAAACATCCACAAACACAGTTCAGTACAACATCCTTAATCTTAGTCCTAATCCACCATGTTCACTCACACTGGATCATGATGAAGGGATCTAAAGTGAATCCACTGTATATGGAGTTCATCACCTTCTCTGTTACTGAGTATCACAGTTTAATGTGTAGAACTCACTGCTAGAGTGTCGGACTCAGGAGAACTGGACTGAGGGTCCAGAGCTATGTACGGGTCATCAACTGAACAGCCTGTGTGAGGGAAAGAGAGAATGAAGCAGAGGAGGAGAAATGAAGAACTCCATTTAGTTTTCTGAGTTAGGAATTCTTTACAGATCTAGAGGGAGGATTTGTGAAGAGACACTTACTGCAAGTGTGTGGTACACATCATCAGAGGACCTGGCTGTGGGCTGAAGAGCTGTGTACGTGTCGTCCTTAGCATTAGGGTCAGCGTTCTGGACAGAGGATGGTTAGAGAGGGTGTGGAGAGACTGAAGGAGTTTAGGAGTCATTAAATAAGTTTACTGTAAGAACTTTTACTAAAGTAGAGAAAATAACTTCATCATGATTTACTGACTAAAAACTGAAGCTCTGTAGCTTTAAACAGCACCATCACCTCCTCAGAGCTGCATCACACAAAGCTCAGTCTTATTGACTCAGTCTTATTGAGCCATCTAGTGTACATGTTTTGTAATTACAAACATATTTTACTACAGCAAAGTTTTGATGGCAGCACTTTAGTGTTCAGTCATAAGTGGGTAATGATATGATTATAAACAGGTTACCAGGCAACAGTTTAAACTAACCCAAGCATTACATGCTAATTTTATGAGTGTTAATAAATAATAAGTTAAAAAATGATCTGGCAACTAATTGGTTCATTGTTATTTGTTTTAGGTTAGTATACCTCACCACCATAACATTACCATTTTATTACCATTTTATTAAACGGTCATTAACAATTTGTGCATTAAGACCAGTGTGTTTATGAATGCCTAGAGATTTGTTGAAGCTCACCTCATTATCTCGCTCTTCCAGGTTTCTGTTCTGTCTTTTGCCCCTAAAGAAAAGAAAATCTGTTTCAATATTTTACTTACTTTTACTCATACAGAGTGAAAATTCATAAATGCAATTATCTGAAGAGTTTGTGTTTGAGATGATATTAACTTTATTACCCAAATATATATAACAAAAAATCATGGTGGTGTGTGGTAAAAAGAATAGTATTAGTAAGTAAACTAAAGAATAATGGACAGAATAAGTAAATAATATGAATCTCACCTCATCCAGAAAACTACAGTGAGCAGAGCTGCATTTCCACAGAGACTGACTCCAACAACTACATACAGAACCACTGAATACAGAACCAATGAACCACCTGCTGTGATACACACACACACACACACCCACACACACACACACACACACACAGCAGTGTCAAAATGTAATTGAGTTAACAGATATTAAAAATGAAATGATGATTTTTAATAATGCCATTTGAAGAATATGAACAATAATACAATTCTAAATAAGAATTAGGAATATTTTTCTCTTTTTATTGACCACCTACTCTTAACAGTGACCATCACAGTTCCATTCTGAACTCCATGTTCATTCTGAGCTTCACAGTAGTACAGTCCAGTGTGGTCAGCAGTGATGTTGATGATGCTGTAACTGTGTCCAGATCCTACAGGTGAGGTTCCACCTTCTTTAAACCAGGTGTAGATCTTCACAGGTGGGTTTGCATCACTGCTGCAGGTCAGAGTCACTGAACTGCCCTCCATTATTTCACCAGAGGAACTGATAGACACTGAGACGCTCATTGGAGGATCTATAACAGTCAAGCAAAAAGGAAAAACAAGTTTATGTGAAACAATAACAGGAACCAAAAAAATGAAACACACCCTAATAAATCATCAATAACATACAGAGAACTTTTAAGTCTACAGCAGTGGATCTTCTCTCTCCATGTTCATTCTGACTCTGGCATGTGTATTCTCCACTGTCCTCAGATCTGATGTTGTGAATGCTGTAGGTTTTTCCTTCTCCTACTGATGTTGATCCCTTAAACCAGGTGTAGATCTTCACAGGTGGGTTTGCATCACTGCTGCAGGTCAGATTCACTGAACTGCACTCTATTATTCTGCCAGAGGGACTGCTGGACACTGAGACATTCTTTGGAGAATCTAGAGACTTTATTTTTTATTTGTTATTTCTTTAATGTCAGTTAAAATCACAGTGTTTATTAAAGTGTTATCTATTACTTGAGGTTTGACAAACAAGACTGATCAAATTGTTCCATTTCTGTGAAAATTGCTGTGAACTGTTTCTCATTTTTAATTGCTTTCAAGGATAAAAAAATAATAATAATAAATAAATAAAAAAAATAAAAACAGTTAATCTCACATCTGACTCTGAGGTTGTGAGCAGTAGAGTGGAGGTGTTGATATCCTCTTACAGCACAGCTATAACTGCCTGCATCCTCACTGCTGACTGTCTGCAGGTGGAGCTGGTTGTTCTTGATGGTCTTTGTTGTTAAAGGATGTCCATTTTTGTACCAGATGAATGTTGGGTCAGTCAGACTGCAGATGGTTTTACATGTCAGATCTGCCGTTTCTCCCTCTGTCACTTCTTCAGGAATTTCTACATGGAGCTCTAAGACAATAAGAGGACCATCAGATTAGGAGAGAGAAAAGCTGTAAAGACAGTGAATCTTATTCATCAGAGTTAGAAACCAGTTCAGATGTAACTAAATTAAATGATGATAGATCTTCTCTACTTCTGATTCAGCACATTGCTGTACACAAACAAAATAAGAAGTGATCTAGGTCCAATTGTTAAATCAGCTTCTGTGCATGGAAACAAGCAACACCACAATTTATTCTCATAAATTTATAATTTACGTGAAACATGCCACATTTCCTGCAGAAATTTACAAAATTAGCCAAGAAAACAAAAATATTCAGAAGCTCATGAGCCACAGGGGGAGTTTAGGGTTGAGTCTCTGATCTACTGCTCCCCCTACTGGCCAAAGATTAAATATCTGTATAGTGTTAAAATTATAACAAATGAAAATAATAAAATGTGAAAAGAACAAAATATTAACCTTTTTTTTTCAGCTGGGAAAGTGATGTGATTTTATAGTGTGATGTTTTTTTTTGTTTGTTTGTTTTTTTTTGTTTTGTTTTTAGAAAACTAAAAACTAATATTATAAGGCTGCTTGACTTATAATATTGCAGTATATGAGCTTCTGCTCTAGTAGGTAAACTGTTCTCTATTTTAAACAGAATGTTATTTGCATTGCATTGTATAAAAATTTCATAAAAATGAGCAACATAAAATCGATTTTGAAAGGAATCTTGTAGACGTTTTTCTCTTACCACCATTACCATTTTGAAGAATTTTTTTTTCAATGACATTATGTATGTTATTTATAACTTTTGCTGAATATTTATATTCTTATATTATTATTTATAATTTTATTATTTATAATGGGATGATTTAACTCACCTATAACTCTGAGCTGAACTCCAGGTTCACCCAGCCATCGTTCTTTTTCTTCATTTGTTATGATTCTGAAGCAGTAGCGATGTTCATCCTTCTTCACTACATCACTCAGTTTGAGGGAGAAGTGTTTCTGTTCATCAGTTAAATACTCGAATCTGCCTGAATAATCTGGGTCTTTACTCAGATCAGTTGGATCCATCCCTGGAACTGGATGTATGCCCCAAAAAGTCTCTGTCACTGTAAGATGTTCTGGGTAAGTATAAGTTCCATTCATAAACACTGTGGATCCATTTAAAGCACATATTTCCTGTTGGTTGTACTTCACACTCCACTTTGTTCCAAAAGCTCCTGAAACATGTTGCATGAAAGAGCTGATTACAGAGTCTGGAGCTCATGAGAGAGTCAGAGTTACTGTAGCTTACAGCTTAACTTCTCTCCTCTACTCCAGCAGCTCCTCTACAACACTGAGCTGATTTTGAGAGAAACCACAAAGCCCAACAAACACTGACTCACCGACAATCATGAGCAGAAAGATCAGAGGAAGAGGAGTCATCATTCTCAATGACCTCATCACAGCAGCCTGGAGGATATTTTTAGTAATGAAATCATTAAATTAAATGCTGTCAGATATTCATCAGTCTTCATTAAGAAGTCAAACGCAACAGTGATGTCTGTGTTTTATTTATTAAATAATTGCTTTTTAATAAATGCAATTTAATAAATGCCTTATTTCATTTCAATTCCCTTTTTTCTTATATAGTTCATTATTCATAACACACAGTGCTTTCTGAACCCTAAATGTTTTAATCACAAAAGCTGTTATTGTCCATTATCGAGGCATTGCAAGTTCATGTTTTACAACAGAAACAGTAAAGCACCAGTGCTGTTCTCCAGCAGAACCTGATAAATCTGTCCAACAAATCAGCCTGCAGTATTCAGGTCAGGTGACGCAACACTGCCATCAACCGTTTTAGGCAGAACCTCAAATGGCTCCTTTCTCACTACAAAGTGCAGCACATAGGTCTTAAAATAACAGCTACTGCATCTAGAACCACTTTGGACTCAGCAATGTGTGCACAATTCACACTGGACAAAAAGCAGAATATTTGACTGTAAAAGCCAAAGTTTCATAACTTACATAGTACACTGTATAAAGAGCAGAGAGCCATTTGAGATTCAGCCTTACTGTTTTCTGAGGTCTGATAGAGGCTCTTTACCTACTTATTTTATGTTGAAAAGTTAAAAACTGCCCTTACAAGAAACTTGTATTCAATAAATAGCTTTAGTTATTAATTGAATAATAATTTATTTTTACTTAATCAAAGCAAGCCCACTGCAGTTTTATCTATATTACCTGGAATGCACAATAAAAAAACATTTCTGAAAAAATTACAAAAGAATTTGTGATTTTTACTTATTATTATTATTATTATTATTATTATTATTATTATTATTATTTTAATAGAGATCTCTTTGCTTATTATCTTAGCAAGATGGCTGGTAAAGTAATAGGTGTTGTTTAGATGTCTGTGAGAATTTAAGACCAAATGAAGGTCTAAACTGGGCTTCATGGAACACGTTCTGTCATATCATTTTTACATGTATGATCTGCAGGCTGTTCCTTATACAAGTTTTACACATAAAAAAATAAAGTAAAATATGAAGGCTATATACTGGCTATATACTGTAGCCTATATTCTTTATCATAAACTACTAAAAATCTTTGGAACAAAATAAAACATCTTACCGTTCTGTAACGAGGCTCATCTCCAATGTTCAAATGATAAGTGGAGAGAACAGAGACAGCACTGAGATGATAGACATGTGGTTAACACGTATAACTATAAGCTGCTGCTCTTAACAGAAATGGCCAGGCTCATTTAAATGACGTTTCCTCTTACAGGATGCATGTAACCTTCTTAGCTGCAGCAAGAGATAAACTTGACTTTAAACTTCTGCAAAGTCTGAATTTTCTCTCAGTGAAACTGAGATGTCTTTCATTTCATGTAATATTAAAGTTATTTTAAATTAGACATGTACTGATGTAGGACTTTATCCAGTTCCTCCTCTTCTCCTGCTACTGTATGAAGCAGTAATGATCACTGGTGTGTTTATCAGTGCTGATCTCAGTACAGTGTTACCCAGCTGACAGAATAAACATCATCAGATCATCTGAAGAACAGAGTGAGTGATACGCTGTATGTTTCAGTATACATAGGCATGTTTAACAAGCTTTTGTTGACTTGACCACACAATTTGAGGGGATCCTAAATGTCATTCATTACTTTATCAGCAGCTATTAAATCTTTATATTAGGCCTCAGACAATAAGAAACCGAGTGAATGTGAGTGTCGACTTCAGCAGCAAAACTCTGTTCAACAAAAATCTGTTCAAATCTTCAGCAAAACTTGATATTTATCAGTCACATGTATCTGATGTTGCTGTCTCACCTGCTGTCTGAGCTGTTCTGACACTTTAAGTGACAGCAGGGTTTGATCATCACTGTTGTGACTGTCTCTGTCTGCAGTTTGTGAACTGACATGAAGAGGGCACTGTTCTGTCTGCTGGGTGAAGTTGGGGATTTTCACTGTCTGAATTTAGAATGCTGATGAATTCAAAAGGAAACGCTCTTTTGACACCTTCAGTATGTAACATTTCACCTATTATGTATATTAATGAACTTGCTGCCTCTGCCTCAGACTACAAAAATCATCTGTACACACGACACGGTTTTATACTGTTCAGCTGACTCTGTTTATGTTGCAATAATAAAACTGCAGTGCTTATTTAATGCCCTACATGTTGCTTTGTGTAAGAACAAACTGGCTTTAAATGCTAAGAAAATTAAGTTCATGCTGTTTTCCAGATCTACTAATACTGATTTTAATACTGTAAATATCACTATCCCTGACTGGATCCAACATTGAAAGAGTCACAGAGTATAAATACCTTGGCATATGGCTGGACAATAAACTCACATTTAAATCACATATTGATAAATTGGTTGGCAAATGTAGACAGAAGCTTGGTTACCTATATAGAAATAAATACTGTTTCCGCATGGGCACAAGAAAAGGAATTGTTTGAGGCAACGTTGCTATCTGTCATGGACTACGGTGATGTCATTTACAAACATGCGTCTACCAGTTCCCTCAAACCACTGGACTCTGGAGTCTGTCACTCTTCACTGAGGTTCATTATTGAAGACCCTTATAACACTCATCACTGTAGACTCTATGAAAAAAGTTGGTTGGCCCTCATTAGCAACATACAAGGAAACACACTGGTTTAATTTTAATTATAAAACACTCTCCGGCCATATGCCAGCATATATTATCTCAATGATGTCTGTAAATAATGGTAATTATATTTTGATTTCATTAACTAATACATGTTATTTACGCTTTAATTATTGTTTATTTTCTACTGTTTTTTTTATGTATTTTTATTATTAAAAGAGCAAAGTCAACAACTCATCAGCCACAGATGCCTCCCTCCAAACTGAACTCAACTCCTTGTATACCTGCTTGAAGACGAACTGAGCTCAGCTGGACAGTGAAATCTCCGATTCCCTTTAGAAGAGCTGGTACTCAGACTGTGTACAGATGAGGTGAGGAGAGCACTGTTGAGAGTGCACACATGCAAAGCTGCTGGACCTTGGTCCTAAAAGCATGTGGCTGTCTACTATCTGTTCTCACTTGCTTCAAAGCCACAATGAGCATATCTATACAAAGAACCCTAATTTCACATGCCTCAGTGATTATCACATAATTGCCCTCACTCGCATCATAGTGAAGGACTTTGAGTGACTGTTCTTGTCTCATGTTAATGAACTGCCTCTCCAGAACTTTGGATGCTCATAAATTCATTTACCATGAGAACAGATGAACTAAAGGCAGGATCTCCCTGGTCATTCCACAATGCACTGAACTGTCTGGAGAGCAGGAACACCTAGGTATGAATGCTGTTCACTGATTGAGCTCACCATTCAGCAAAGTTATACCTTGTAGACTGTTCTCCAAGCTGAAGACCCTGAGAAACAGTCACAAAGTCTGCAGCTGGATTCTGGATTTCCTCCTCCCACTCTCACTCTCAGCATTAAAACATCAAGGCTGCATCTTATCACATTCTCTACACCATGTACACCAACCTGCATCACCAAGCACAACTACAGCACCATCATGAAGTTTGCTGAGAATATAGCGATAGTGGACCTCACTAATAAGAACATGGAGCAGTAGCGAGAGGAGGTGAAACTTCTCACAGAGTGTTTCACCAACAACAGTCTCTCCATCACTGTAAGCAAAACCAAATAGATGATGGTTTATTTCAGGAAGGGAAGCAAATTGTACACATCTGTGCATTGAAGGGACCATGGAGGATCTTAGCCTGTCACTCAACACATGACACCTCATCAGGAAAGCCAAACAACACTTTCCTTTCATCAGGAGGCTGAGGAGAGTCACCGTGCCACATTAGCTTCTCTCCAACTTCTGCACACCAGAGTGGAGAGCATTCTGAAGAGCTGCATCACAGTCTGGAATGGCGACTCCGCTTCTGAGGAAAGGAAGGCCCTACAAACCACTGTAGATGTCCTCCCACCCATACAGGACATTTGCAATAAAAGATGTCTGAGGAAAGCCAGCAGTCTGCAGCTGGATAGTGGATTTCCTCACCAGCAGACCTTCAACTGTTAGAAAGGGTGACCACCCTTCTTACCACTCTCACTCTCAGCATTAATACATCAAGACTGTGTCTTATCATACATGTTCTACATGCTGTACACCAACCTGCATCTGCAAGCACAACTACAACACCGTCATCAAGTTTGCTAACAATACAACAGTAGTGGACCTCATTAATAAGAACATGGAGGAGTAGAGAGAGGAGCTGAAACCTCTTACAGAGTAGAGCCCCAACAACAGTTTCTCCTTCAATGCAAGCAAATCAAATAGATAACTGTTGATTTCTGGAATTGGACCAAAGTGCACACACTTGTGAGCATTGAAGGGACCATGGAGGATCTCACCTGACCACTTGACACATATCTCATCAGAAAAGTGGAACAACGCCTTCATTTTATCAGGGGACTGAAAAGAGTCAACCTGCCACATCTGCTCCTCTGCAACTTTTACCGGTCCACAGTGGTATAGCAGCTCCACAGCAGCTGTCCTCCCATCCATACAGGACATTTACAATAAAATATGTCTGAGGAAAGCCAGCAGTATCACCTCAGACCCCACACACCCAGCCACTTCCAGTTCCACCAGCTGCCACTGTGGATGAGATTTTAGATTATTTGTGCCAAAGCCACCAATTTGAATGACAGTTTCTACCCTCAAGCTGTCAAACTGGTCACACTCACAGCACCCAAAATATCATGAATACAAACACTCCTTGACCTCTGTGCACACTGCACTTTGATTCTGAA